AGGAGTTGAGTTTGAAAATGCATTTAGTTGCAATGCGGAAGAATTTTCAGTTTAAAGTAAAAAAGTCGACGCCGGAGCTATATATACTGCGGTGCGTTCATGCTGATTGCACGTGGAGACTTCGAGCTACCAAGCTAAAGGAATGCACTTTGTTCAAGATAAAAAAATATTGTGCTGCCCATACGTGCTATGGTGGAGCTTTAAAACATGATCATAGGCAAGCCAAAAGTTGGGTGGTAGGACATCTTGTGCAAGAGAAGTTCACAGACGTCTCCCGCACGTATAGACCGAAGGACATTATAAAAGATATGAGGAAGAAGTATGGTGTCAATTTAAGTTATGATAGAGCATGACGTTCTAGTGAAGAAGCACTCCGGCTTATTAGAGGTGATCCAACATCGTCATATGGTTTACTTCCAGCTTATAGTGAAGCTTTGAAAATCATGAACCCAGGTACTATTTTTGAATTAGAACTAGAAGGTGGAAAATATTTCAAATATGTATTTATGACATTGGGTCAATCAATTCGAGGTTTTCTGGGTTGTATTAGACCAGTTTTGGTTGTTGACGGGGCCCACCTAAAGGGGAAGTTTAGAGGGATATTGTTATCAGCTTCTGGTGTCGATGCGAATAACCAGAATTACCCGATAGCATTTGCGATTGTCGACGGTGAGACGGTAGCATCATGGGTGTGGTTTATGACTCAAATAAAACGTGCGCTCGCTGGAGTTGATAATTTGGTTTTCGTTTCTGATAGACATCAAACCATTTGCAAGGCAATCGGCAAGGTATTTCCTGCTACATTTCATTGCTTTTGTATACAGCATATCAAGGTGAACTTGATAGCAAAATTTAAAAACGATGCGAATGCAGTCGAGGAACTATTTTTAAAGGCTGCAAAGGCGTATCTTAGTCATATTTCAACTCGATCTGGGCCCAACTTCGTACATACCCTGGTGTACGGGAATATCTAGACGATATTAGCAAGGAGCATTGGGCTCGTTGTTTCCAAACTCAATTGAGGTACACACAGATGACTACAAATATCACAGAGTTTGTAAATGCCCTCTTCAGGCACGCCCGTAAGTTGCCGGTTACCGCCTTACTTGACCACATTAGAGGTAAGTTACAGAATTGATTCTATGATCGACGGACGCTTGCAGCTTCTCGATCAACCACATTGTCCGACTACGTAGAAAACATGTATCCCGAATATTCAAATAGTGCGCGGAGACACGTTGTAGACAACATTGACCAGTTCCATTTGCAGGTACGGGATGGCAACCTTGACGGGATTGTTGATTTGAACACTATGACATGTAGTTGTCGGGAGTTTGAGTACTTTAAGATTCCGTGCTCTCATGCTATTGCGGCGGCGACGATGCGAAATATAAATCCATACAGTCTGTGCGACGAGGCATATACGACGAACTCCTGGATATTGGCTTATGCAGAACCCATATTTCCAGTCGGACACGTCTCGACATGGAATAGTTCGCCAGAGTTTGTCAACATACCGGTGGAACCACCGAAGACTGTTCCAAGAGTTGGGAGGAGGAAGACAACTAGGATTCCTTCCACGGGCGAGGTACGACAAACACGTAAGTGTGGTCGCTGTGGTGCGTGGGGACACAATCGCAAAACATGTAGCGAACCCCTTACCACATTGTGAATGTATGCTTCTGTTGTTCATTTACTTTTAAACATGTATGAAGTGGATTTTAAAGAAATTGGCAAGGTAACTTGTATCTCAAGAAACCAACCATGCATGCATGCATTTGCAACTCTATGTGTTCTACTACTATTATTATTATTGTGGGGATTGAATTGTATTATTATTGTGTGTTTCATGTATCATGCTTCGAGAATGAAATACGAATTAGAAAAGACAATATCGGAATTCCATAAATATTCAAAAAATGGGACGGCGCGCCCACATCTGTACAGCGTACTAACGCTTAAAAAGTACAATATTATCTTGGGTCAAAGTGTCAAGCTTTGACCCGGTAACATCGTACTCGAAGAAGCGTACAAAGAAAATCCCGCAATCTGTGGCGTTACTCTGTTGAGGTGTGCGAACCCGACGCACCCTCCATGGCACCACTGGCAGGTCCGGTCGTGATGCAAATATCCCGCCATGATGTAGTACCGCAGGTAGGATCGTACAAATGGGCTTCAGCTCCTTCTTGAGTGAATCTAGTGGAGTGGCCGATTGGAGTGAATCCCATACAGTTAAGTCACCTTCCACAAGATCAATTCCGAGCATCACCCAGTGGTTCCCACCTATGTTGATCGGGGTGTACACAATGTCTGCATCAGTCCAAGCCACATTCTGGTCCGACTACCTACCGAACACATATCGAAATATTGTATTCTCTTGGCTCCAGGGGTATTCGATTCTCGTGGACAGGACCCCTGGTTTCATGGCCGCATACGGACCGTCTGTTCGGTTCAGCAGAGTCTGTACAAGAAGTACAAAATGATATTACTTACACAGATAATTAAAATAGTATTTTTTAGTTCAAACGAAGAGCGGTAAAAAGTCTGTACCGAAAGTAGCACGTCGCCTATCGCAAACTTTTTGTGACACAGATGTAGACACTTCTCCAACTTTTTGGCCGTAAATAGAACGAGAGCATCAACTATCTATTGCATTTAAGAAATACAAGTTGATATTGGAATATTATTGACAAATGTAGTACTAGATAGTGGAATAAGAGGTACTTACCTCGTCCTTCAATTGGACAGTAGGGTCTAGTAGATCGCGATACCATTCCTTCCCTTGTAAGCCAGCTGCAGTAGACCGAGTTCGTCCATCGGTGTCTGGGTCATCCATCCATGTCTGGAACTGGCCGTCTAACTGCGGAGGAATGGGACATGCTGGGTCATATGCGTCCACGGTGATCCTACGCCGGCCGGTTGGTGTGTATATACCCTTCAGTTTCCACGAATAATGGCGCTTGCGTAGCCCCCGGCCAGTTGGGGCATGTTGAAGGTCAGTTTCGTCTTGGTTAAGGTACGGTTCAACCTAAACCACAATAAACACGTAAGGTCGAGTAATGACAACTGACGAAATACATGACATTAAGCTTACCTTAACGATCGCGTCGGGTGCCCAGTCCTTATATGGACGCCTAACTCATCGTCTCGTGGGCTGTGTATCTGGCTGAGCATCCGGCTCTTGCCTGCCAACGGTGAGATCCTAATGCACAAGAAATATTAATCACATTACAATATGTGAATCAGGAATGTATACTAGCATTACAGAAGGTGGTTACCTGAATTACGGCCAGCTGAGGTCCATGGTCATCTGCATGATCCACTTCCGATCCATCAGGCGGTCTCCCGATCGTAATGTCCTAATATTAATTAACATGATGTAAGACAAGGTCATAAATAATCCGACGAGGAAAATAAGTACGAGTTACCTGATTTGGATCCTCGTCCCCATCCATTATCATACCATCATCCTCCTCCGTTATCATTGGATCATCGTCCCTTCTCTTCGGATCCTCGTCGATACTATTCGGACCATGTCCCGACGTCGGT